AGATTTTTTGATGATGGCCATTCTGACTGGTGTGAGATGATATCTCATTGTAGTTTTGATTTGCATTTCTCTAATGATTAATGATGTTGAGCATTCTTTCATGTGTTTGTTGGCAGTCTGTATATCTTCTTTGGAGAAATGTCTATTTAGGTCTTCTGCCCATTTTTGGATTGGGTTGTTTATTTTTTTGTTATTGAGCTGCATGAGCTGCCTGTAAATTTTAGAGATTAATCCTTTGTCAGTTGATTCATTTGCAAATATTTTCTCCCATTCTGAGGGCTGTCTTTTGGTCTTGTTTATGGTTTCCTTTGCTGTGCAAAAGCTTTGAAGTTTCATTAGGTCCCATTTGTTTATTTTTGTTTTTATCTCCATTACTCTAGGAGATGGGTCAAGAAGGATCTTGCTGTGATTTATGTCATAGAGTGTTCTGCCTATGTTTTCCTCTAAGAGTTTGATAGTTTCTGGCCTTACATTTAGGTCTTTAATCCATTTTGAGCTTATTTTTGTGTATGGTGTTAGGGAGTGATCTAATCTCATACTTTTACATGTACCTGTCCAATTTTCCCAGCACCACTTATTGAAGAGGCTGTCCTTTCTCCACTGTATATTCCTGCCACCTTTATCAAAGATAAGGTGACCATATGTGCATGGGTTTATCTCTGGGCTTTCTATCCTATTCCATTGATCTATCTTTCTGTTTTTGTGCCAGTACCATACTGTCTTGATTACTGTAGCTTTGTAGTATAGTCTGAAGTCAGGCAGCCTGATTCCTCCAGCTCCATTTTTTGTTCTCAAGATTGCTTTGGCTATTCGGGGTCTTTTGTGTTTCCATACAAATTGTGAAATTTTTTGTTCTAGTTCTGTGAAAAATGCCAGTGGTAGTTTGATAGGGATTGCATTGAATCTATAGATTGCTTTGGGAAGTAGAGTCATTTTCACAATGTTGATTCTTCCAACCCAAGAACATGGTATATCTCTCCATCTGTTTGTATCATCTTTAATTTCTTTCATCAGTGTCATAATTTTCTGCATACAGGTCTTTTGTCTCCTTAGGTAGGTTTATTCCTAGATATTTAATTCTTTTTGTTGCAATGGTAAATGGGAGTGTTTTCTTGATTTCACTTAAATTCTTATATAAATAATATGACGTTTAAAGTTTAAAAGCAAATCAACATCTGTAATACTGATGCATAAGAGAATATAATATATCACATTGTAGTTGGGTAACTGTGCTTTATCTTCATATATTTTTAAAACTCCTTAATTATGTTGGAAAAAACCCCAAGACCATTGCTATTTGATAAACATATTTATTAACATTTTATATTTTTTATACATACTTTAATATGTATGTATTAAAATATTTTAAAAATGACTATGATCTGATGGTAGTAGAGACTGATTGCTTACTTGAAAAAATTATTTTATACATGTCAAAATGCACTATCCTCATCTATTTAACTGGTTTGTAAAATGCTTGAAGTATGTAAAAAAAATGTAAAGATGTAATTTTTCATACCTTACAAAGAGTTGCTAGCTGGCACAAAGACAATTAATTTATTTTACAATTAAAATTTACTTTGATAGTTTGAAGGTTAGCACTATGTAGGACAGTTTCCAGAAGACCAGAGATGCTTCAGATAAAAAGAACTATATAAAACACAGCTATCAGAAATGTTTTTTTAAAAAGAATATACTATAAAATAAGACAATCATTTTTTAAGAAAAGACTTTTCATATCGATTTCTTCTATTCAAACAGACTGACATGACTCAGGTATTTTTAAGTGTTTTAGAAACACTTCCTCAAAAGTTTCCAAGACAGCAGCCTTCAGATGTTCCCTCAATCCCAGTGTGCTCAGATGAAGCAAATCTTATGAGAACTTACCACCAACCACAAGTTTTTTTGGGGCACGGACCATATCTCACTCTTTGTTTTACCCCAGTGCTTAGAAGTAGGCTCTCCTCGACAAATGTTCACTGAACTCCATTGCTGAAATTATAACAGCAAAAGTATCAGCATAACTCATCAATAAATAAACAGTCCTTTGGAGGATTGTGGGAAATCCAAACACTTTCAGTTTATACAAGTATTCATAAACACATGAAAATGTTCTAGTTTATCCTAAATGCCCCAGCCCTTATGAGTACTACACGAAGAAGCAATTAAAAGGGAAAATTTTCCTGAGTAGTTCATAAACTACGGGTAGTTTTTAAAACTGAATAGCAGTCTGAGAATTTTAAGAGGCAAGCTAAATATTAGCTATACTCAGTCTAATATAATTGTTCAGTATAATTGTTTTATACAGGTCCCATATTCAGTCAGGCCTGCGTTTAAAATTAAGTCACAAAAGAGAAAACATTTTCAATCTGTAATTAAATTTAAACCATTAATTTGAATTATACCTTTAAAGTCTATTAATTTAACAAAGATAGCCAAAAGTTGCTATTTGAGGAAAAGGCCTTCTGTTCAGCCTGTGAACAGTGAAAGTTAAAAAAAAAAAAAAAAAAAAGGCATGTAATAAAAGCATTTTCCATAAAAACAAAGATACCTCAAGCAGGTCCACCTATCTCTCTAGTTTAGGTCAGAAACTCATTCAATATTTTTAAAATTATATTATTTTAAACTTTACATGAACTCAGCTTGGCCTGTTTTTTCCCCAGATGAGTCAGGTTTTAGTGTACTTGAAGGAAATTAAGCATATTGAGAAGACAATGGCTTCAAAGAACATACAATCTAGTGGAGGAATAACACACAATCACCGAATCCAAGTGACAGTAAAGTGTCATCATTCAAATTAATTCTGGGAGAAAAACTTAGTTGCCCCCTTCCTCAAAATCAAGACACAAAATTTTGAAAAAGTCCTATTCATGTGTCACCCTCCTAAAAATAAATATTCATCTTTTAAATATAAAGAGCTATATATAACCCTTTTTATCTAGAAGTGACACTGTTCTCCTGTAATCGAGTGCTTCCCCATTTATCTTCCAAAATCTTTGGAGACTTAATCCAAAATATGAGGACTAATCAATAATGATAATTTAAGCTAAGTATAAATGTTTATGAAAATTTAGCACATTCCAAACATGCCATTGGAGTATGAGGATAAAGAAAGAACTGCGTTCCAAAAGGAAAAACTACCATTACAGATGAAGGAGTCTCCCAAATTCAAATGGCATAGAGTGAAGATTAGCTACAATTGTTCCTCTGGACAGATTTTTTGACCCAGCATTTATTTATGTTATTTATTTACACTTTTCAGTGTAATATGGCTCAGTTAATTTATTGATATATAAAAAGGGATTTAAAAAGTCTGAATTATATTAAATAACTTAAAGTAAAATAATGTAAAATGTCAAGGTGAGATCTGGGGAAAAAAATATATATACTTCTAGACAGACTCTGGAGCATCTCAACCTCTTTTCTGACATGATAAATGCAGGACATATTTCAATGGGTAATCCCATATTTTGACCAAGTTTTTTAAATGTTGAAAGGAAAACAAAATCTTACAGAAACTCCAAAGGGACAGAAATCTTAGCGGTATTGTCAACACTACCTCCTCTGACTGGGTTGTGGTGGATAGCACTGGTACAGACTGTACCTCTCCCCTGCACATCAGCAGATGGGCTGGCAAACTTTATCTTTCAAAGGGCCAGATTGTAAATATTTTAGGTTTCGCAGATCACACGATCTGGTCTCTGATGCTTTATTTTTTTCTACAACCCTTTAAAAATGTACAGACCATTTCCAGCATGCTAGCCATACAGAATCAGGCTGCTTGCCAAATCAGGCCGCAGTCTGCAGACCTCTGATACAGAAGAAAAGCAATTCTCAACTACTAACTCTCCACCCAAATTCCCTTCTCCTTGTTTCAACTTTAAATAATTTCAGATAGAACAGGAATTAGAGGTTTAAAGGACTGTAAGGATGAGGGATCTAATCTAACTTTCCAAATGAGGAGCTGAAGGCACAGAGCACCCAAGTGACTTGCTTACAGCAGAGGCCAAATGCTCACTTTTCCCTCCTTCCCCTTCCATTTCTGGAATGCTTACACTCAAATTTGAGGACTCCCTTTAAAATAAAGTCTACTGGACCTTTACTATATTCACAGTGTAAAATATTTGTTTTACCGGATACTTGTTTCACATTCTTTTATCATGTTCAAGAAAGTCACACCAGGAAAAACTTACAATACTTTTTAGTTTATATTGAGCTAGCATGGGGCTTAAGGAGGCTTAGAATTCTGTCCCTTAAATTTAATAAACTACTGAGTTTACTCAAGCTGGACAGGCTAGCTTCTGAGAAGAAACCTGAATAGGGCTGCTAGGTGGAGGGGATCAGTTGTATGGCATTAACATTCAAGATAAGCAGACATCACTCCTCTAATTAAATTCCTCTGAAACACATGGGGCTACCAAGCAAACACCTTACAGGAAGAGTCTAATCCTATCCATTTACCATTTTTTCTATTACTGAAATATGGAATGAGGAATAGCACTTTAATGCCACCTCTCAGAGTAAATTATATATAAAAAAGAACATTTTCATTTTCCTTCAAATGGTAAAACTAAAGCTTATTCTTTGTACCTGAGTTTCTAGTTGTTTCCCCGCAGCATTTCTGATAAAAAGAGTACTTTTATTGTCAATGAATAAATTCTCTAAACAAAAACAGATATAGTCAGATATTCCAAATGAACCTTCCCTAAATTTAGAACTTGAATTTTAAAACAACTTTATAGAACAATGTTACCACCCTATATCAAAAAAAATCTTTCATGTGGCAATTCTGGATATAAGGCTTGAAATCTCTTGGATCTTTCAAAATATACTCACACAACATATGGATTTATAAAATGTTATCACTGATAAAACTATGTGTCATCCAGGTTGTTTATGAAATGCCAATACATACCAGCCCTGAAATGTCACAATTCCATCATATACAGATTTGTGAATTTTTCACTCTACATATGAGGTAATGTGTTTTCTCCACATCGTGTCCTCACTTTTCAGGTAAGGGGAATATGACTCCCTTAAGACTGAAAAACAAGCCATGCCCTCCTCCCTCATTACAAAAGATTAAAGAAGAAAATCATCACTTCTTCATGACCCATGAGTGGCTCCTAAATCTTCCTTTTATTCTACTGTATTTAAAAACTCTTCTTCTTGAAGTTTCAATTTAAAGTCCTCTCTGATTCTTTCTAGCAGCTCTGGTTTAAAAATAACATCCAATGCAGTCATTGCCAGAGCTTTGGCCGTTCGCAAAGTGTAGAACTGAGCTTCTTGTGATCCTAAAAGGTAGATAAAATGAATAAAGATAACCTCATATGTATTACAATTACTTTATTAGTTTTCTGGTTAGCTCTCAATATCTAAATTGCCTCTGCAACTGCCCACCACAATATAGTATTTCCTGAGGCGCTGTTAGGTAAAGAAGTAATAATAGGCTAACCTAAACAGTTAGAAAGGCAACTACTACTACAAAGAGTATATGCCAAAACATTCACTTGTAATAACACTTACCTGCAGCTTCAGTATATTGTTCTGTATGATTCAAGGCATTAGATCCAATGTAAAAATATGGATGAATCCCAGGAACCACAAAAGTAACATTTCCAAAATCAGTAGATCCTTGGAAAGGTAAGACAAACCATGAATTTCGAATTGCTAGTCCAATGGACGCTAAAGCACACTTATCTTAATCTCTATAGCACCTGACATGATTTACTGCTCCCTCCTTTCTAGAAATTCTCTACTCTTTTGGTTTCCATGACTCCACTCTCCTGACTGTCTGGCTTCCTCTGTCGCCCTCTCTAGTCACTTTCCTTCACCTGTCACCTGAGTACTGGTGATCCCTAGGGTTTCATCTCTGGGCTACGCCTCCTCCTGTGTACTTGGGCAACCTCATCAACATTGAAACCTATGTTTTCAATCACCTCTCATGTATTGACAACCCCTAGGTCTCTACCCAAACAACTTTTGGAACAGGCTACTGGACAGCTTTCCTTAGAAGTCCTGTGAACACCTCAAATTTAACAAACTAATAATTAATACCAACCCACCATACTCCAGCCTGCTCTTTCTCTTGAACTCTTATCTCACTGAATGACATCAACACCCTGTTTTTATCTCCAAGTCCCTCTGAGTCTATTTCATCAACATTTATTATTACATTTTAAGAGAGGCTTTTCTAACATGCAAACGTAATAATGCTCTTAAAAGGAAAAAAGCCTAAAATAACCTGATATGTTTATGATTATTTAAATTCTAATAATTGTTTGTTACTCCTCAGAAACTGAAAATGCCCCCATATAACTAAGTCCTTAGTAACCTGCTTACTGATGACTGGAGATGAATTAAAATTCTATTTCCCCTTTAAGTAGCTTACTTAAAAATTAGAACTAAGCAAATTTAAACACTAGAAATATTTAGAATATAAAGCAAAGAGTATGATGGCTATTTCTAAAAACAAATCTGTTCACTTGACATTCTACATTCACTGAGGAATGCATTAGTGTCTTTCCCCTACCCATTAAGTTTGTGAAAAAAACTCATTAAAAATCGGGAGCAATACCTCCCCCAACCTCGAAAGCTGTTAAACAAAACCATTTAACCATGGATGGTACTTCCCTTCCTCAAATAGCATATGATATGTTTGAAAGAACTTAATCACCTGAAGGGCCATTCAACATTGCATCTTCTGAAATGAAGTCTATTCCCAGCTTTTTTCCATTTTCAATATAAGCTTTCCACAGGCTCTTATTGGGAAGAACATTGTAATAATCATGTGCTCCACCTTTAATTTCTACCTAATAAAAAAATTATAAAACAAATTTTGAATTAAGAAACTCAAATTCACTATCTAATTTTCAAACTAGCAATAGTTCTCTAACAGAAAGAGGTTTAAGAGGAGGCACCTCCCCTTCAGGATATAAGCTCTCTCAAATCTTTTACCTTAAAAAAGTATGTTTTTCTATAATGGGAGTTCCTAGGACCCTCTCTCCTTTACATTATATATGGACCAAAGCACACGAGGTCACCTAGTCAGTGAGTCTCAACTTCAGTCCCTAAACAGGGTGTGGGAGAGGCCAGGAGTCTCCATTTTAGCCAGCACCCCCAAGTAATTTTGATGCATGTGGTCCCAAAATCACATACTTAAGAAATACTGCCGTAGGCTATAGCCTCTAAAAGAAAGAAATCAAGATATACCAATTTTCAATATACAAACCGACACTGACACCACTGCCTGGTCTGAAAGGCATAACATATCCTGAGCAAGACAGAAGATTCACAATGTGGAAGGGTTGACTATGGTCCTCATTTATTAATTTCAGTGCATGAAGATACAGAAGCAGTTTATATGTGCCCAGTTAAGAGGATTTACAGATTTAGATTTGACTAAATCAAAAATGGGCAATACTCCCACAAACTAAAGATAATCCCAATAGCATTAGCAAAAACCAATTATAAAATGGCAGAGATAATATTCTACTTTTAGCAACATCTAAGTTAGAAACAATGACAACCTAAGTAGATACTACAAGTCAGCCAAAACATAAAAAATTATTAAAAGACTATTTAAAATATAGGAGAAAAGGAGATAAGCAATCTATCTGATAAAATGTTTAAGGTAACAATCATAAAGATGCTCAAAAAACTCAGAAGAATGGATGAACAGAGTGAGGAGTCAGAAGTTTTTAACAAAGAGTTAGAAAACATAAAAAAGAATCAGAGCTAAAGAATACAATAACTGAAATAAGAAATACACCAGAAGGAATCAATAGTAGATTAGACGATACAGACGAATGGACCAGCAAACTAGAAGACAGAGTAGTGAAAATCACTCAAGCTGAAAAGAAAAAAGAAAAATGAATTTTTAAAAATGAAGACAGTTTAAGAGTCCTCTGGGACAACATCAAGAGTACTAACATTCATATTATCAGGGTCCCAGAAGGAGGAGAGAGAGAAAAAGGAGCAGAGAACGTATATGAAGACATAATAACTGAAAACTTCCCTAACCTGGGAAAGGAAACAGACATCTAGTCCAGGAAACACAGAGAATCCCAAATAGGATCAACCCAAAGAGGATCATCCTGTCCTTAAATGGCAAAAATTAAAGATAAAGAGAGAGGGGCTTCCCTGGTGGCAGTGGTTAAGAGTCCACCTGCCAAGGCAGGGGACATGGGTTCGAACCCTGGTCTGGGAAGATCCCACATGCCACAGAGCAACTAAGCCCGTGCGCCACAACTACTGAGCCTGTGCTCTAGAGCCTGCGAGCCACAACTACTGAGCCTTTGCACCACAACTACTGAAGCCCACATGCCTAGAGCCAGTGCTCCGCAACAAGAGAAGCCACCGCAATGAGAAGCCTGCGCACCTCAACGAAGAGTAGTCCCCGCTCGCTACAACTAGAGAAAGCCCGTGCACAGCAACGAAGACCCAACACAGCCAAAAATAAATAAATAAAATAAATAAATTTTAAAAAAATTTAAAAGATGAAGAGAATATAAAAAGCAGAAAGAAGAAAGCAACAAGTTCCATACAAAGGAGTTCCCATAAGGCTATCAGCTGCTTTTTCAGCAGAAGCTCTGCAGGCCAGAAGGGAATAGCACAATATATCAATCCTTAAAGTGATGGAAGGGAAAAACCTACAACCAAGAATACTCTACTGACAACGCTTTCATTCATTTGAAGGAGAGATCAAAAGTTTTACAGACAAGCAAAAGTTAAGAGTTCAGCATCACAAAACCAGTTTTACGAGAAATGTTAAAAGGACTTCTCACCACACAACTAGAAATATGAAAATTACAAAAGGAAAAACCACACTGCTAAAGATAAATACACAGTAAAGGTAGTATCAATAGATTAACCACTTATAAAGCTAGTAGGAAAGATACAGATATATATCTTATCTATAATAAGGAGTTTAGGGATACAAAGAAGAAAAGGGTGTGTAAAATATGATATCAAAAACAGTAAAGGTGAGGGGAAGGAATAAAAACACAGGGTTGTTAAAAGTGCATTCAAACTTAAGAGATCAGTAACTTAAAATAACCACAAATGTATATAGATTGCTATTTATAAACCTCATGGAAACCACAAACCAAAAGTCTATAATAGATACATAAACAAAAAAAAGAGAGAAGAATCCAAATATGGGGAATTCCCTGGTGGTCCAGTGGTTAGGACTCATTGCTTTCACTGCTGGGACCCAGGTTCAATCCCTGGTCAGGGAACTAAGATCCTGCAAGCCACATGGCATGGCTGAAAAAATAAAAAAAGACACAGAGTGGTTGAATGGATACAAAAACAAGACCCATATATATGCTGCCTACAAGAGACTCATTTCAGATCTAAAGACAAAGACAGACTGAAAGTGAAGGGATGGAAAAAGGCATTTCCATGCAAATGGAAATGAAAGGAAAGCCAGGATAGCAATACCTACATCAGACAAAACAGACTTTAAAATAAGACTGTAACAAGAGACAAAGAAAGACATTACATAATGATCAAGAGGTCAATCCAACAAGAAGATATAACATTTATAAATATACATGCACCCAACATATGGAACACCAAAATACATAAAGCAAATATTAGCTAACATATCGGGAGAAACTGACTGTAACACACTAACACCCTACTTACATCAAGGAATAGATCATCCAAACAGATAACCAATAAGGAAACACTGGCCTTAGATGACACATTAAGGCCAGATGGACTTAACAGATATATATATATAGAACATTCCATCCAAAAGCAGCAGAATACACATTCTTTTCAAGGATACATACAACATTCTCCAGGACAGGTAACATGCTAGACCACATAACAAGTCTCAGTAAATTTAAGAAGACTGAAATCATATGAAGCATCTTTTCTGACCACACATATGAGACTAGAAATCAACTACAAGAAAAAAAACTGCAAAAATCACAAATGTGTGGAAGCTAAACAATGCTCCTAAACAACCAATGGCTCACTAAATAAGTCAAAGAGGAAATAAAAATACCTGGAGACAAATGAAAATGGAAACACAACAATGCAAATTCCATGAGATGCAGCAAAAGCTGTTCTGAGAGAGAAGTTTATAGCAATACAAGCTTAGCTCAGGAAACAAGAAAAATCTCAAATAAACAATCTAACCTTACACCAAAAGGAACTAGAAAAGAACAAACAAAACCTGAAGTTAGTAGAAGGAAAGAAATCATAAAGATCAGAGCAGAAATAAACAAAATAGAGCCTAAAAAAACAACAGAAAATATAGAAACTAAGAGCTGGTTCTTTGAAAAGATAAATAAAATTGACAAATCTTTAGCCAGACTCATCAAGAAAAAAAGAGAGGGCCCAAATCACTAAAATCAGAAATGAAAAAGGAAAAGTTACAGATGACACCACAGAAAAACAAAAGGATCCCAAGAGATTACTATGAACAATTATATGCCAGTAAAGTGGACAACCTAGAAGAAATAATCAGATTCCTAGAAATGTACCATCTCCCAAGACTGAAACAGGAAGAAACAGAAAATATGAACAGTCCAATTACCAGTAATGAAATTCATGAAATGAATCACTAATAAAAAGAAACTTCTAATAAACAGAAGTCCAGGATCATGTGACTTCACAAGTGAATTCTACCAAACAATTTAGAAAAGAGTCAATACCTATCCTCAAACTGTTCCAAAAAGTTGCAGGGAAGGAACACTTCCAAACTCATTCTATAAAGCCAGTATCACTTTGACACCAAAACAAGACAAAGATGTCACAAAAAATGAAATTATGGGACAGCTATCACTGATAACATAGATGCAAAAATCCCCAGCAAAATATCAGCAAACTGAATTCAACAGTACATTAAAAGGATTATATACTACGATCAAGTGCAATTTATCCCAGGGATGCAACAAGAATGGTTCAATATCCACAAATTAATCAATGTGATACACCACATTAATAAATTGAAGAATAAAAATCACATGATCATTTCAGTAGATGTAGAAAAAGCTTTTGACAAAATTCAACATCCCTTTATGATAAAAACTCTCAGGGACTTTCCTGGTGGCACAGTGGTTAGGAATCCACCTGCCAATGCAGGGGATACGGGTTCAAACCCTGGTCCGGGAAGATTCCACCTGCCGTGGAGCAACTAAGCCTGTGCGCCACAACTACTGAGCCTGTGCTCTAGAGCCCGCGAGCCACAACTACTGAGCCCACGTACCACAAATACCGAGCCCGCGTGCCTAGAGCCCGTGCTCCACAATGACAGAAGCCACTGCAATGAGAAGCCCACACGCCATGGCAAAGAGTGGCTCCCGCTCACCGCAACTGCAGAAAGCCTGCACGCAGTAACGAAGAATCAACGCAGCCAAGAATAAAATAAATAAATAAATTAAAACAAACAAACAAAAACCTCTCCACAAAGGAGGTGTAGAGGGAACATACCTCAATAACAAAAGTCAAACAGAAATACAGATCAATGAACAGGATAGAGAGCACAGAGATAAAACCACACACCTAATTATGGTCACCTAATCTATGAGAGAGGAAGCAAAAATATACAATGGAGAAAAGACAGTCTTTCAATAAATGGTGAACAGCTGAACAGCTACATGTAAAAGAATGAAATTAGAACACTCCATAACACCATAAACAAAAACAAACTCAAAATGGATTAAAGGCCTAAATGTAAGGCCAGACACTCTTAGAGGAAAACATAGGCAGAACACTCTTTGACATAAATTGCAGCAAAGTCTTTTTTGACCTAACTCCTACAGTAACAGAAATAAAACCAAAAATAAACAAATGGGACCTAATTAAACTTAAAAGCTTTTGCAAAGCAAAGGAAACCATAAACAAAACGAAAAGACAACACTCAGACTGGGAGAAAATATTTGCAAATGAAGCAACCGACAAGAGATTAATCTCCAAAATATACGAACAGTTCATGCAGCTCAATATCAAAAAATAAAAATAAAAAAATGGGTGTAAGACCTAAATAGACATTTCTCCAAAGACATACAGATGGCCAACAAATACATAAAAACATGCTCAGCATCACTAATTATTAGAGAAATGCATATCAAAACTACAATGAGGTATCACCTCACACCAGTCAGAATGGCCATCATCAAAAAATCTACAAACAATAAAGGCTGGAGAGGGTGTGGAGAGAAGGGAACCCTCCTACACTGTTGGTGGGAATGTAAACTGGTACAGCCACTGTGGAGAACAGTACGGAGGTCCCTCAAAATACTAAAAATAGAACTACCATATGACCCAGTAACCCCACTCCTGGGCATATACCTCGAGAAAACTGTAACTCAAAAAGACACCTGCACCCCAATGTTCACTGAAGCACAATTTATAGCAGCCAGGATGTGGAAGCCACCTAAATGTCCATCAACAGAGGAATGGATGAAGAAGATGTGGCACATATATAAAATGGAATATTACTCAGCCATAAAAAGAAATGAAATTGTGCCATTTGCAGAGACATAGATGGACCTAGAGACTGTCATACAGAGTGAAGTAAGTCAGAAAGAGAAAAACAAATATCGTGTAATATTGCTTATATGTGGAATCTAGAAAAATCATACAGATGAACTTATTTGCCAAGCAGAAATAGAGACACACAAGTAGAGAACAAACGTATGGATACCAAGGGGGGAAGCGGGGGGGTGGGATGAACTGGGAGATTGGGATTGACTTACATACACTACTATACATAAAATAGATAACTAATGAGAACCTACTGTATAGCACAAGGAACTCTACTCAATGCTCTGTCGTGACCTAAATGGGAAGGAACTCTAAAAAAGAGGGGATATATGTATACGTATAACTGATTCACTTTGCTGTACAGCAGAAACTAACATAACATTGTAAAGCAACTATACTCCAATAAAAATTAATAATTAAAAAAAAGTCATATACAACAAGCCCACAGCCAACATCTTAATCAACAGTAAAAAGCTGAAAGCATTTCCTCTAAGATCAGGAACAAGACAGGGATGCCCACTCTGCCCACTTCTATTCAACTTAGTGTTGGAAGTCCTAGCCACAGCAGTCAGACAAAAAATAGAAATAAAAGGCATCCAAATTGGAAAGGAAGAAGTAAAACTGTCAACTGTTTGCAGATGACATGATGCTATACATAGAAAACCCTAAAGATACCATCAAAAAACTACTAGAACTCACCAGTGAATATCGTAAAGTTGCAGGATACAAAATTAATATAGAGAAATCTGTTGCATTTCTATACACTAGCAATGAACTATCAGAAAGAGAAATTAAGAAAACAATCCCATTCATGATCTCATCAAAAAGAATAAGATACCTAGGAATAAATCTAACTAATGAAGTAAAAGACCTGTACTTGGAAAACCATAAGACACCGATGAAAGCAAATGAAGATGAGACAAACAGATGAAAAGATACACCATGTTCAAGGTTTGGAAGAATTAATATTGTTAAAATGACCATACTACCCAAGGAAATCTACAGATTCACGGCAATCCCTATAAAAATACCAATGGCATTTTTCACAGAACTAGAACAAATAATTCTAAAACTTGTAAAGAAACACAAAAGACCCTGAATAGCCAAAACAATCTTAAGAAAGAAAAACAAAAGGAGGTATCATGCTCCCTGATTTCAAACTATACTACAAAGCTATGTATGGTACTGGCACAAAAACAGATACATAGAGCAATGGAACAGAACAGACAGCCCAGAAATAAACCCATGCACCTTTGCTCAATTAATCTACAAAAAAGGAAGCAAGAATATACAATGAAGAAAAGACAGTCTTTCCATAAGTGGTGTTTGGAAAACTGAACAGCCACATGCAAAAGAATTAAACTGGACTACTTTCTCATACCATATACAAAAATAAACTCAAAATGGATTAAAGATTTAAATGTAAGACCCAAAACCATAAAACTCCTAGAAGAAAACATAGGCAGTTCGCTCTTTGACATCAGACTTAGCAAATTTTTTGGGGGGGATATGTCTCTTCAGGCAAGGGAAAATAAAGTAAAAATAAATGAATGGGACTACAAACTAAAAGGCTTTTGAACAGTGAAGGTTACCATCAACAAAATAAGAAGGCCACAACTGAACGGGACAGGATGTTTGCAAACAATAGATCCAACAAGGGGTTAATATCCAATATATACAAAGAACTCATACAACTCAATAGCAGAAAACCAAACAGCTTCATTAAAAAATGGGCAGAGAACCTGAACAGACATTTTTCTACAGAAGACATACAGACGGGAACAGGCACATGAAAAGATGCTCGACATCACTAATCATTAGGGAAATGCAAGTCAAAACCACAATGAAATAGCACCTCACATCTGTCAGAATGGCTATTATCGAAAAAGACAACAAATATGTGTTGGTGAGGATGTGGAGAGACGCGAACCCTTGTGCACTACTGGTGGGAATCTACATCGGTACAACCACTATGGAAAACAGTATGGAGATTCCTCAAAAAATTAAAAATAGAACTACCACACTCTCCAGCAATTCCACTTCTGGGTGTGTGAAGAAAATAAAAAAGCTAATTCGAAAAGATATATGCACCCCTATGTTCACTACAGCGTTATCTACAATAGCCAAGATATGGAAGCAGTCTATGTGTCCATCAACAGATGGAACGTAAAAACAATAGCTAAAGGTATACATATATACAAAGGAATATTAATCAGCTGTATTAATCAGCTGTATAAAAAGAATGAAACATTGCCATTTGCAACAACATGGATGGACCTAGAGGGTATTATGTTAAGTGAAATAAGTCAGACAAAGAAAGACAAATACTGTATGATTTCACTTACATGTGGAATCTAAAAAACAAAACAAATGGACAACTATAACTAAACAGAAACAGGGTCATAAGGAGAACAAACAGGTTGTTGCCAGAGGGAAGGGGGTTTGGGAGAAAAGAGTAGTAGGTGAGGGAGATTACAAACATTCAGTACAAAATAAATGAGTCACAGGTATGAAATGTACAGTGTGGGGAATACAGTCAATAATTCTGTAATATCTTTGTATGGTGACAGATGACAACTAGACTTATCATGGTGGTCATTTTGAAATGAATAGAACTATGAAATCATTATGTTGTATACCAGGAGCTAACATAGTGTTGTAGCTCAATTATACTTCAAAAACAAGCAAACTCACAGAAAAATAGATCAGATTTACGGCTTCCAGAGTCAGGTGCTGGCGGGAGGGGGAATTAGGCAAAAGTAGGCAAAAGGTACAAGCTGCCAGTTATAAGGTAAGTAAGTACTAGGGATGTAAGTACAACATGATAAAGATAATTAACACTGCTGTACATTATCCATGAAAGTTAGGGTAAATTATAAGAGTTCTCATCATAAAGGAAAAAAATTTCTTTTCCATTTCTTTAATGTTGTACCTATGTGACATGATGGATGTTCACTAAATTTACTGTGATAATCTATTTCATGATGTATGTAAGTCAGATCATTATGTTGTATACCTTAAACCTATACAGTGCTGTATGTCAATTTTATCTCAGTAAAACTGAGGAAAAAAAGACTTAAATATAGACTCAAATCTAATAACAATGAACCTTATTATAAGGCAACATTATACCTTGGGATATTAACTAGTGATAATAGTTCATGTTTTATGTTATATTTTAAATATCTATAATTATAAATAAATAAGGGATGAATGCTTAAATTTTTACTCTTTGGACACTTAACATATACTGTCTTAGAATCACTCTTACTATCTGAATAAATCATATATCTCCAGTCTACTGAGGGCAGAAAAAAATAAGGTATGAGGTGTTGGCCCTAACTCTTCACAAACATTATGCCATTTAATTCTCATAAGAACCCTAAGATAGATTATATCATTACCTCCATTTTTCAAGAAAAAATGGAGGCCCAGAGATATTAAATGACATTTCCAAAAGTTACAGAATCAGTGAGGCTGAGAGGCACAAATCCAGATCTTATCTCTCTCCAACTAGACTACAGGCTTGCCCCCAGGGCAAGATTTATGCAATTCTGGAGCTTCTCATCCCACTGTATGCCCTATATGATTAGTACATAAATGTTGACGACTTTATGAGTCAAATAAACAAAACCTCTTGACTACTGTGTCTATTTTAACTTTCATTCCAGCAAGCCATAAGTATTTGTATCACTATTACACACACCTGTGACTTCACCAAAAATAGGTTTGGCTGATTTTGCCATAAAGATCCCTTTACAGGAACTATATACAGCATTTCCAAAAGCATAACTGCCAATAAGGAAAAATATAACTTGCAAAAAGGCAGGGAGTCTAGCTCAGCAATATCAGTTATTCTAAGTCCTGTATAATGAGACGACTGCAGTCTTCCCTATGCAGACACTGATTAAAATAAATAAGAATGAAAGATTTTCACATCAACTATTCAGTCAACTGGTTTTGCATATTCAAGGCACTGATTGCCAAATAAAAGGAACACAAATTAGGTTCTAAATGTAACTTAATATAAACAACCCCAGCCCACATATATACTTCTGATTATAACTTAGATTAACTCTTAAAAGTTCTTACTGTGCACCCAGTAGCCAAAGCTGCAGCTCTGAAGCAATCTTCTGCCTTTTTGGTCAAAACTGGAAGTTCTTTCATTGAGGGTGCACGGAAGTAATAGATTAGCTCAGAATAAGAGGGAATGATATTGGGTTTTACACCACCATTTTTTATTATACCTATAAAAAGAACCAAATTACTGGAATTGAGCTTGGAGCTTGGAGATCATTTCTTTAAGCTTAAATACACCCATAAAGTTTTTCAGCCAATATATACATAAAGAAAAATAATTTAAACTTATTAACGTCACATATATGCCAACCAAATATTTTGATGTTATACAACAAGTTTCTATGCACAGTATGACACTTTCTTGCTAACAGGAAAAAAAAAACCTGTCTATATGTACTTTAGTCTGAGGAATTTATACAATGTTAAGAAATTATGATTCCTGACTATAAAGAAACTGCTAGAAATTTTTACAACTATCTTAAGCCTTCTGGGAGAGACTTTTCAGTGCGTTTTATTACAGTTGTACATTTTGATAAACTTTTGACATAAGGAAAAAAACCAATGGTATGAGCCTCTGTAATTACCCTCATACCTCAGGAATCCCATTTTAAATAGCATTTGGCTCTGGGAAAATAATTTTCATGCCAACAAGAAACCAATGCAAGTCAAAGATGACAAAATATACTACCACTGTCAAAACAAATGCATTTATTTGGAACTAGACTGAGAAGGAAGATGTATCCATTCAAAATAATAATGAAAATAAGTATGCAAAACCTATTTTATATGACCTGTTTTGAAAAATGTATTTTTTACATATTCCTGTTTATTCTTTTTAAAGAAACTAACGTAGAAAATTGGTAAAAGTGCAGTTACAAACTAATTTCAGACTATAGCAAAATCAAGCAAAGAACAGATCTTAAAGTATAATAATTTCTTAAATCATAAGGAAATAAACTAAAAAATAAATCTATACCTTCAAGACAATACTTTATTATTATATATATATATTAATGTGATACACATAATTTAAAAAGATGTTACTTAGGATTAACAGCACTTGAGCACATAAAACCAGTTACCACCACTTTTTTTTTTTAATGAGAAAATGATGAAATTTTGTGATTAAGAGACAGTGAAGATAACTGAAAAAATTAAGTTCTAACTTTCAAATACCCACAGAATATTAAGATACAGTGAGGATAACTGAAAAATCAAGTTCTAACTTTCAAATATCCACAGAAAGAACCGTACATAAAAACATTATTTCTAATACTCAAAATGACCATTCTATTTATGTACAAATAATCTTAACTATCTTCTTACCCACATATAAATGAACATCTAGTATCCTGTCCCAGAAATTTCTGAAAATGTTAAAAATTTTTGGAATATTCATAAAGTATATAAAATGTTCCCAAATGTTTTTTTAAATCAAATATTAAGGAATTATATTGCACTGGAATATATTAAGCGCCATCTATTACCCAAAGTATTTGACATTCGTACCATGAACTCTCCAGGTAGGTTTCATTTGTTGTCTTAACACAGACAGATTGTTATAGGCGAGGACAGCAGCATCTAATGCATTTAGTCCTTCCCAGGGATAAGCAGCAGCATGAGATGCTTTTCCATAGTATTTCACAGTCACACTAGGAAATAAAATATCATTCGGAATTACTTTTTTCAGTATCACCAAAGTAAGAAAATCCAAGTAATTAGAACTACCCAACTATTATTCAAAATTAATTCACACTGCTGAATTAATTTGTAGCAATAATGTAGCAATTTACATACCTTAGTTCTAGTTTATTATTATGTAATACAGTGACTAACACAAAGAAGGCATTCCAAAAACACAGAGAAAAAGAACTTTGCTCAATCGAGCTCCTGTACAAATTAAATCTGTACACAATTCAATTTAAACGAACAATGCAATACTGTTTTAAGTGCTGGAATTACAAAAGAGATGGCTCCTGTCTCCTTCTGCACTGTACTGTGATAGTTCTATATCAAAGGTCTACAAAAACTCAAATAATTCTTTCTGTCTTAAAGGTGGGGAAAGGTCAAGGAAAGACAGAAAGGAGGTGACATTTGAAATGGGTTAAGACAACCTCTAAAAATCAGATTATATTCACAGTATTATAAAATATTCTAGCGTTGTCAGTTGTTCCTGACCAATATTTTATTAATGTTCCAGAATACCTGTATCACTAATACCTTAAAAGTTTTTAAAAATTAATTAATTAATTTTATTTTTGTCTGGGTTGGGTCTTCGTTGCTGCACGCGTGCTTCTCTAGCTGTGGTGAGCGGGGGCTACTCTTTGCTGCGGTGCGCGGGCTTCTCATTGTCGTGGTTTCTCTTGTTGCGGAGCATGGGCTCTAGGCATGCGGGCTCCAGTAGTTGTGGCACTCAGGTTCAGTAGTTGTGGCCCATGGGCTTAGTTGCTCCGTGGCATGTGGGATCTTCCCAGACGAGGGCTCGAACCCATGTCCCCTGCACTGGCAGGAGGATTCTTAACCACTGCACCACCAGGAACGTCCCCCTTAAAATTTTATAAATTGTTTTTCCACTTCCCAATATTTCTCATACCAGTCTACTCAGATACAATAAAAAAAAAATAAGATTTAGAGAAAGGATTGTATATTAAATAGTTTATAAAGATGACTTGCCTCCATTTGTTTTTTTAACTCTTTGAACACGACTCATGGCCTTGTCTGATAACTCCAAAAGAAAAAAAATTAATAATGGTGACTTGTTTGGATTACACTTCTTAAGCCTGATTAATATTTAAATTACTAAAAAGTCACTCTAGGGCTTCCCTGGTGGCGTGGTGGTTGAGAGTCCGCCTGCCAATGCAGGGGGACACGGGTTCGTGCCCCGGTCCGGGAAGACCCCACATGCTGCGGAGCGGCTAGGCCCGTGAGCCATGGCCGCTGAGCCTGCAGGTCTGGAGCCTGTGCTCCGCAACGGGAGAGGCCACAATAGTGAGAGGCCCGAGTACAGCAAAAAAAAAAAAACAAAAAAAAACTCACTCGACTTATTTATTTTTTTTAAGGAGCTAGATTCAAGAGGCTCATGGCATTTCTTTACTGATTCCAAACATTCTATTTAAAAAACAAAATCCAAATATATATTTTAAATTTTAGGATACTTGTTATTTCCTCAATCTATATCTTATCACCATCACCCAGAAACTGGAATTTTAACAAAACTGGTGATAAATATTATAAAATGGAAAAAGATGTCCTTTACGAAAATGGCTCTAGCACCATTTCTTCTAGGGTTCAAATCTATGTACAATTAAAGCACAATAAACTACAGGAAAAGAAATGTTAATGCCTGTTTTATATCAGCATTAGTATTTTAGGCTTAAAAAGCACATTTAAGGGCTTCCCTGGTGGTGCAGTGGTTGAGAATCCACCTGCCAATGCAAGGGACACGGGTTCGAGCCCTGGTCTGGGAAGACCCCACATGCTGCGGAGCAACTGGGCCCGTAAGCCACAACTGCGCATCTGGACCCTGTGCTCCACAAGAGAGGCCACGATAGTGAGAGGCCTGCGATGAAGAGGGGCCCCCGCTCGCTGCAACTAGAGAAAGCCCGCGCACAGAAACGAAGACCCAACACAGCCAAAAATAAATAAATTTATTTATTTTTTTAAAAAAGAACATTAAAAAAAAACTGATATGGAATGATATTCAAGACACATTGTTTAATTTTAGAAAGCAAGAGCCAGATCAACAATATATTTAGCAGACTATTTCAGAGGGGGGAAAATCCTCCTTTAAGATTTAATTTATACATGTACCTATTTTATGTCTATAAATATACCCCCAAAGTCCTGGGAGAATATATATCTCTAGAAAAGGGACTGGATGTGAAAAAGGTGATTAATAGGGACAATAGTACTTTATCTTATTTATTGTTACAGATTTTTAGCATGAATAGATTAGTAATTTTTTAAATTAAATTTTTGTTCTTGCTCTTTTCCATCTTAAAAGTTGGCAAATGAAAAATCTAAGAAGCCAGATACTAAGAAAAGGCCTGAGGCCCAATGGACTGACTTCAGAATCAAGGCCAAGAAGCCTACCTAACCCTAAATCCTAGAAGGCTAATGGACTGGGAAGCCTGCCTGCAGCCACTGGTCCCTTCTAGCCAGAGGCATTGGCAGAGATTTCTAACCTCTAAGGTTTTCCAGAGGTGTACTACTGTACAGCATCCCTGAAATGGAAGTTGAAAGATTCTTCCTACTGTCACAATACCAATTCCTGGTGATAAGACCAAAAATACCAGAACAGTTAAAATAGTCACCCTCTGAAAACAAGGGGTGCAGAGAAATGCAGGATAACTGAACACACAATCTAGAAGCACTGCTGGGGTGGTTCTGCGATTACTCCCAGGCTACTGCAGAGGAGAACATGGGGTTTTCCTCAAGCAGCTGAGCCATGGCTCCTTGGGACCAGACCCCTAACTGGACCATTAACTATTATGGTTGAAACTTCTGATGTAAAAAATTTAAACCACTTAAATGATGCATGCTCCTAGGTACCAAAAAAAGTGAGCTTTTCAACATAGAGAAAGATAAAAAAAGAAGAAAAAAGTTTCAGCACCAGACAAATCAGAAAAGGATATGTTGGCAAATTCCAATCAAATCCACAGCTAGTCAGTTTCTGTATTTTTTCGTCAGGAACATAATTTATCCTTTTTGCAAAGAACTCAAAATAAGTAAACTAGAGAAGTGTGTTTTCTTCCCAAGTCTAACAAAGCTGTCTCTTGCAGATCTATTCAGCTGCAAATGCAACTCCATATCAAAGCATAGACATTGTCCAGAAACCAGATTCCTCTCAATTCAAAATAGAACATACGTGTCAACATATTGTTTGCTATTCTTACACTTTTTAGGCAGGATTTTAACAGTTCAATTATGAACACCATATTAAATCTCAGTTAGAAGGGGCCTACCAAATGTCATTCAATGGAAATCAAATATCACATCATTATCTTTCAATTTACTGTTTTTTTTCAATTTACTTTTTAAATGCAGAAGTACGGAGTTTTAGCCTCCAGTTAAGTCACTAAAGTATTCTAATAGCCTGTTTTCCACTACGAAGTTTATTTCAACTTGATTACTCACTCATGTTCAGCCACATCAGGCAGATAAGCAGCATTCTCTTGAGATGGATGGGCCATAAAAACAACATCAAGATTTTTAAAAGCCCCTGCTTCGATTAAATCAATTTTGCCACCACCATCTTCTTCTGCAGGGGTTCCCAGAACAATTACCTAGAAAGAAATACCTGTGTCAGAGCAACAAAAAATCCTAGCAGGCAGTATCAGTCAGGTTCCCTTGCACATGTATTCACAATCTAAATCAAACTATGAAGAGAGGTTTTGTTCTCTGACTCAAATAAGGCAGTGGGCATAAGTCTACCATGCTAAATTCACCACAAACTTGCAATTGACATTATTATACCAATTTGGCTCAAAGTATGTACTAAAGCCTCTATAGGAAACTTTTCCCAATCTTATAACACAATTTTATAGAACTAATGTCAAAGATGAAAAGAGGTACTATATACTAAGTTCCTCAAAATTATTTAGGACTAACTTCTTAAAGCTTATTTTTGACTGTCTTTTAGTATATATGTATATGATTATTCATAAGCCTTTTACTGGTAAGGAACTTTCTAGTTACTTATTAGTTATCCTCACAACAACCCTGTGAGGTAGGTAAGCGATCTGTATCATTTTAGGAAGGGTGGTTTTGAGGCATGGAGTGAAATGTCTTGCCCCAGATCACAGAGCAAGGCTTCAAGCAGAGCTGGGATTAGATACCCTGACCTTCAGGCCTGAACTCTGTTTCCTTACCAAACTACCTCTTTAGAAGGTCTTAACGCATTCATCCTTTATGAAAAGCATTGAATAAATCTTAATACCACGGTTAGAAACGGCCAACTATTACACAAACTTACTAATTCGATTCCACCAGCTCAACCAGGCAGATTTATTGGTCACCAAACACCTAATTAAACAAAAGAGAACTTTACAGAATAAACATTTTACTTTGATATTTAAACTTAACTTCTTCAAACAATTTTTAAAAGCAAAGAAAAATTTTCTATAAACAACTAATATACTTTCAAGGTCACGTATAAGAACACAATGAAACAAGTTGGAAAAGTTCTTGGCTTGCAAAGAGAATCAACATAAATTCCATTTTCAGATAAGACAGATAACCTTACTAAAACTGAGTATTACCATTCAAAATCAGAAGTGTGTGTATTTCCCAAAGTCTTGCTTTAGTCAGAAGTTATAAAGCTCTTAATTTGCTTAATTTGCAAACTCTTAAATTGCTTTTTACTCTTAACCCTTGACTCATGAAATATGACTTTTCAGGTTAAATCTTGTTGACTTCTCTGAACCTTTCATAAACCTGGTTAAAGCTAAATCTCTCCAGTGCTTCATGCAATGGCAAAGGACACCTCCTCCCCCAAACAAAACAAAAACCTAGCCAGATGAAAAACAAGGCCCAGAGGCAGAAAAGAGAAGGCAGCTAAAGAGAAAAAGCCACAAAACATGGAACTGTAAGGATAAAAGAGAAAGGTTACTGACACTGGAAAAAATGGGCTAAAGAATATTAAAATATAACATTAGTCTTCCCCTTAACCTGAGCAGTGGTGATTCAATCTTAGCCCACAGAAAGAATATACCATCTGGAAAAACAGAGTTAACACAAGGTTAAACTTGCCCTGTGGCTAACATAAACATTTCCCCGTTTAAAGGATCGAGCTATATCTTAAAATCGCGAAATAAACTTTAAGACTTAAGGATCATGTAGTTAATGTTCACTCTCTTCCCATTTTTTGTATACTTCTAGAGGTTTTGTAGTTCTAACGACTGAACATTTCCTATCCAAATCCAATGATTCGAATCACAACAGCTCCTAGGACTGCCACAAACAAAAGATTTTTTGGAGGCTAACGAAGAGGGTCTGCAGGTTTCCCTATAATAACTACCTCCTCCCAGAGATTGCACAACCTTGTCAGCAAATTGCGATTGGCCCTGTTACCAAAAATAAGCCATCACGAAAACCAGGCTTGGTTCTAAGTTCTTTCCTAAGGGAGAGAGTTCACTCAATTGTTTACAACTACGCAGGAGAGAAAAAGCAAAAGTCTGCAAAATGTCGCTAGGTCGGCAACTCATGAACTACTGACTTTGATCCAGGGGTTCTGCCTACTAGAAAAAGCCAGGACGTCGAGTGCTGTCCCCTACACCTGCCCCGGGGTGGGAAGGGGCGGAGGCGCACGGGAAGCGCCGGCTCCCGCCCTTCTCGGGTCGGTCCCGGCCTGGGCTGGCGATGGGAATCCCAAGCCCGGGCCCCACCTCACCTTCACCGGCAGAGGCGGCCCGGGGAGGCTCTCCAGGGCCCCCTTGACGCCCAGCGCGGCCGCCGCCCCGACCTCGGCGATCAGGTTGTGGCCGCAGGCGTGCCCGATGCCTGGCAGCGCGTCGTACTCGCAGAGGAAGCCCAGGTGCAGCGGGCACGGCGCCGCCCAGCCCCGCGGCAGCCCCCACTCGGCACGGAAGGCCGTGACCAGCTGGTAGTGCGGCTGCACCGCCCACGACGCGGCCGGGCGCTCGCTCTGGAAGAAGCGCGTCAGCACGTCGTGGGCATGGTGCTCCTCGTAGGCCAGCTCGGGCTCGCTCCAGATCGCGCGGCTCAGGGCCCCCAGGCGCTCGGCCGCCTCGTCGATGCACTCCGCCGCTCGCAGCTTCAGCAGCTCCACCTCGAAGACGGCGGCGCAGGCGCCCCCCTCCACCGGCCTCTCCTCTCCGGGTCTCATCGTGCTCACAGCCCGTGACCGGTCAGCGCTCTTCTCGACTGCCCGCTAGGTCGCTCCCTCCTGGCGGCCGACTGAGCCTGCGCACACGCCCCGCGTTCGCTGCGCAGGTTGTCTCCGCAGCTCGCGGGAGACCCACCCCCGAGCCCCCGCGCCCCGCCTCCAGCGCCTCGCCGGAAACGTGCTCCGCCCTTTCTGCCGCCGGTCGCTGGGAGGAACCCGAGTCCTGTTGCTAATCGTCTCTCCTTCGTCCCCTGGGGTGTCCTGACAACTTATTTATGGTCTAAGGTCATTACTCCTTTTCGTTGTTGCTTATGTCCCAGAGCAGCAGAATAGAACGGTTTTATTGGTTAACAGGCCTCAGAGACAGACCAAGTGGAATATAGTCCCCTGAAAAACGTCACCCTCCTTTCTAGAATAGTAATACAATTTTTTTTTTTTTAGAATAGTAATACAAATTTATACAAGGGTTTTAGTTCCTAAAACTGGGTGTCGATATAAATGCTTTACAAAGAACACTGGTCTATAGACTACGTAGTTAAGTTTTCGGAACGCCCTCTCTTTCTTCTCCCTGAGGTTACTGTGTTCCATAAAAGCTGAAACTGCTGTATATGGCTTTCTTATTAGAATCAGAACTTACTAGTAACTCGAACAGCAGCTGGAATGTAAATAGTAAGCACTAGATATGTATTCGCTATTATAGTCTACTTGAGTAGAGTAGAATTAGAATTAAGTATTTAAAATGAGGTTTTTTAAAAAGCCCAAAACAGTTAATAAAAACATTAATGGTCATATATATTCATACTATTTTGTTGATTTGAATGTGTTTTGTTAAATAGTAACAGCTTTGAGAGAGAGCATATTTTCTATTTTCGTTTACAACTTTGATGCTGAACTCAAGTAACATGTGTGCAGTTGGTGTCCACATTATAACTCGGTTTTAAATTACCCAGTGAAGAAATTCAAGATGCCGTACTCTTTTCTCCAGAGTGAAGCACAAAGTCTGAAAAAATGTTGTTGATGATATAACTATTAATAGCACTGTAGAAATTTATATTCTAAGGTGTTCCACATAGTAAAAGCTTCCGTCAACATTTCATACTCTATCACCTCTTTCCTTCATTTGTTACAATTTGGTTAAATGGGACACAATATATTCATATAATAAGACAAATGTATTTTTTCAAAATAAGTCTAAAGGAAGTTAACATACATGAAGACTATCTACTACTATTTTTAACTACTACACAAATTAACAATATCAGAGTAAATGTCACATTCTAAATCAGAAAATACTGTCATTCTCAGGCAACACCCTAACTGAAACGCAGCTCTAAAGACAACAAATGTGGTATTAAATTCCTGGACCCCCCTTGTCTATGCTTAATAAACCTTACTGAGATACACTTCCACAAAAATCCCCTCTGCGTTTATGAGATTCAGTATTATTGTGTTCAGATAGTTGGCTAAAAAATGGCCTTGTTTGAGCAAATACAATAGGTGACATTTGTAGAGCACTTACTCTGTGGCAGGAGCTTAACATGTGCTAAGTGCTTTATGAGTATTAACTCATTTAATTCTCATAATAACCAATGAGGTTGTTAATGTGATTGTTTATCTTCACTTTACAGATGCACTGTCTGAGATTACGCAGCTATTAAGTAGTGGATTCAGCATGGAACAGAGGCCAGTCTGGCTCCAGTGGGCTACTTTCAGCCACCTTGCTCTATTGCTTATGTAAGTAGACATCCAAATTCTTTTTTTTTTTTAACATCTTTATTGGGGTATAATTGCTTTACAATGGTGTGTTAGTTTCTGCTTTATAACAAAGTGAATCAGTTATACATATACATATGTTCCCATATCTCTTTCCTCTTGCGTCTCCCTCCCTCCAAATTCTTAAATGCATCTACAGCTTGTCTATTTACATGAGAACCCATAAATATCACTCATTTTGAATAAATTTACTGCAGCAACCCTGCCTGTTGCCATCAGTAGTACCCATGCTTGCTTGCTCTTATCAGGCAGCTATAAACAACAACAGAAAAGGGGTACATATAAATTCTATATAGAAGCTGCTATTTATATTGCTTGTTATGAATTAATAAAGCTGTCACTTGAGGTAGAGAAAAGATAGATTCATTTCAAGCTCTGTTCTGTGTGTATGCACATGCATGCATGTATGTGTTGGTTTTCCATTGTTGGCAGCCTATATTTCTTACTTACTGTATCCTTAAATTAATTTATTTAATAAATTGTGATAATTTGTTCAATATGTATCTTCCCCTCCAGTCTTTAAACTCTTTTGCTTTCTCACTGTGTTCCCCAGCACCTAACATGGTGCGGTGGTGATACAGCCCTTCCTCATCAATAAATGTTTGTTGATTGATTATTCTTGAATCTAATAAGCTAATTGAGTAATGGTAGCAATTGACCACTCAACTATGCCGACTGCCTGTAGATACTGTGTGTATCAATGTGATGCTTCTCCCCAGACTTCTCAGTCCTTTACCTCTGGGAGTTGAGAGGCAGGAAGAATGGCTTCTGGAAGTTGATAGAGTAGGACATATGGCCTTCTTGAATCTGATCAACTCAGTAATTCTTACTATCACTTTCATTTATATCCATAATGTTCATATAACTGTCTACCTCTATATGCTGCTACTAAGGAGCCTGTAATTCTTTTTACCAGAAACATTAAAAAAATGGACAATACTTCTCTTCCTTTAGTAGGTGCTATATCTGAAAAAAATAATACAATACTCAGAGTTTAGTATTAAGGTGTTAATTTTGACCTTTGCTTTGGAGGAAGGTGGGTAGAAAGAGTTCTCATCAAAGAACTGGTTTTTAAAGTAGAAAGATACCTCTTCTCTCACTGCTCAGAAAACCAGCCGCCATGACACCCAACTCCATAACTTTAAGCACAGCAAATTCATGACAAATGAGTGCTTTGGTGGGGATAGTAGATCAAATATTTCCTTTACCTTGGGAAAGCAACGTTGTCCATGGCTGAAATACTAGCCAATTTGTACAAGACTAGACTGGATATTATTCTGGACTTCAGATTCAGAACCCTTTGTGGCAAGACAACAGACTTGGATATGGTTGATATTATTTTAATTAGAATAAAATAAGATAATAAAATAAAATCCTCAACATAGTCTTGCAAAGCATGACCTAAATGAGAAGAAAAAAATATGTTGAGAACCCAGAAAAAGAAATGGAATGAAAAACTAGATAGCACATTAAGAAACCACTTCTGGGACTTCCTTGGTGGTGCAGTGCTAAGAATCTGCCTGCCAGTGCAGGGGACACAGGTTCGGGCCCTGGTCTGGGAAGATCCCACATGCTGCGGAGCAGCTAAGCCCATGCACCACAACTACGGAGCCTACGCTGTAGAGCCCACAAGCCACAACTACTGAAGCCCACACGCCTAGAGCCCGTGTTCCGCAACAAGAGAAGCCACCGCAATGAGAAGCCCTCGCACCGCAACGAAGAGTAGACCCCACTCGCCGCAACTAGAGAAAGCCCACGCGCAGCAATGAAGACCCAACGCAGCCATAAATAAATAAAATTTATTTAAAAAAAGATACCATTTCTGGGGACTTCCCTGGTGGTCCAGTGGTTAAGACTCCATGTTCCCAATGCAGGGTACCCAGGTTCAATCCCTGGTCAGGGAACTAGATCCCGCATGCCGTAACTAAAAGATCCCACGTGCTGCAAGGAAGATCCCACGTGCTGCAACTAAGATCTGATGCAGCCAAATAAATAAATATTTTAAAAAGAAAAAAAAGAAACCACTTCTGGGCTAAGGTGTTGGGAAAGCTGGCTGTCACTTGGCAGAAAGCAGTGAACCAAGAGAACAGGTAGGGAGAAAGGTGAATTTTGATGGGGTGGGGAAGGGACATAGAGGAATTGCGTATACATTGTTAAAGAGATAAAACTCTATCCAGACAGTGGATAACTATCAGATGTTATTAAGCAGGAGAAAAGTAAAACCAGATTTTTGTTCTGGAAGAATAATTGATGAAAATGTGGAAGATAAATGGAAACAGAGAGACTTTGAGCTGAGACAAGCTAAAACCTTCCTGCAAAGTCCCTGGAATCCAGAAACATTCCACAGCCAGAAGTGGCCAAACCTGATGTCTGATGGAATGTGTTTGGAGGAAGGGGACATGATGGAGAAAAGGAGGCAGGATGACTGAGTTTTCTAGTGTGAACGGCTGGGTGGATGGTAAAATCATTCAACCACATAGGGGCAATGGGAGTGTAAGGGGCCAGTGGACGGATGTGTGTTAGAGGAGGTGGATGCTACCATCCAAAAGACTAGCAGTGGCGCTAAGGAAAGTGGAGGAGCTAAGGAAAGTGCATGTCCATGTATCTACTGTGCATAATGGGTATACCCAGAAGAGAATTAAACCATCCAGGGCGTGAGTGAGTAGGCAGGAAAAAATTTAAGGTAAGGAAGAAACTCTGGAAAATAAAAGCAAAGGAAATGACCAAAAATGTCTGGCAGGACCTTGCTTCTGTTGGGTAAGGTTCTATTACAGCTTGTTTTCAAATTCTGTATAGATTTCTTCAAATGGCCCATGAGGTAAAGGCAGCTATTTTAAAGCCTGGAATGTCCTGGTACTAAGTTACTTGAGGCTCTCTTTGACTTCCCTCCCTCTTGGCAATGAGATTAGCTGCTCTGCTGAACATAACCATTACTGAAATGAGGACAGTGAGGTTCTCTCAGAGGAAAGGCTTCTCCTCTGCCTGATTCCCTGAGGCTGGTAGACTACAACACTGTGAAGACACAGCCCGGCTTGCTGGATGAGAACATTTCTCTCCTAAGGTTATGGTTTGGGAAAATGGAGAGAACTTTTTTGGCTCCCCTGCCCTTCTTGATACAACATTTAGAACTTGGACCCAATGCAGTGCTTGAGGGTCCTTCAAGAGATTCCTCTCTTAAGCAATGTGTACACTTTCACCATGTGCGTATCTACTAAGGATTCACCTCTCAAACTTCTCAGTTATTTTGGTGTTACTTATTTTACATTGCTAGCAGGA